ATAATCAAAACAAGACTTAAGAATAATACCTACTACAACTAGAAAAAGAAAATAGAAAAGATAAACTCCTCGATAAAATGAAACTATTAATTGTAGTTGTGATGTATTATATTGGTAAATGTGGAGAAACGTGTATTTAAATGAAGAAACTTCTTAAGCTACTTTGCTGGAAATTAATTTAAGAACATCTATTTTAATTCTGTAAAATAATATCTCAATTTTGACGTAGAATATTACAAGAAATTTCACTTTTAATAATGAAAGTTTATCATAAAAAGTCATTATTTTATGATTTTGTCGAAATATTGGTTATGGAAAGACTTTAAGTGAAATTACTTGCATACCTTGTCATTCTAACTGATTAGTTTGATTATGGATATCACCGATTAAAATCAACAACTCCGACGACCAAAAAAAAAATAGTTGTCGTGATTAAAACTCTTTACTTTAACAATTACTATATTATTTATCAAAAAATAAATAACCATGTGTAGGATAATGTTTAAATGATGCAAGTAAGATGTTATTCATCATGGAAAATTGCAATTTTTTGTAGTAATGCTTCTTTCGTAATTACACACTACAATTTCATACGTGAAACTATAACTCGAATATAGTTAATTGAGATATAAAAAAAACATAGATGAATTATAGAATTTGTAAGTATAACTTTCTGTTTGACATTATAAAGGAAAAGGCACAATTAATGTAATAACATTATAAAATGAAACATTAACATAGTAATTATACAATCCAAAAAATAGCCAAAAAAAAAAAAAAATTACAAAATATAACATGAAAATAAAATTTACTAATTAATGGAATAACACAAAATAATTTAAATGACAACGTTATTTTGGCTTTGATATCGTGCTGGAGACTATAAGGGTCTGTTTGATAAGAAAATATGGAAATGAATTCCAATTTCATGTTAGTTAGAAAATAAAAACTCACAAAACCCATATGAATTCGTTTTCCATGAAAACAAAGAAAATACAGTTTAAAGTGGTTATACTTTGAAATTCAATTTTCGTTTCCACGTTGCAATTAAACGGTCATTGTGGAATTCGTATTCCACGAATGTGAGATTTTTCATGAAATTTGTTACAATCAAACATGACCTAAATTAAATATGATTGAAATAAGATACCCAAATCCAATGAAAATTATATAATTATATATTGAAGAGGAACATCCAAAATTCACAATCAATAATCGAGAATTATAATCAAGAATCAAGAAGAAGGATCGGAGCAATTAGATTGAAAAACAAGAAATCAAGATTCATTATTC